CGCGGAGCGAGTCGGCGGCGGCGGGGCTGGGCCCGGGCCCCCCCCCGGGCTGGGTGAGCGCGACCGCAGCGGCCCGGGAGGTGGCGGGCGGGGGTGCCGGTGTGAACGCGGGTGTGAGCGCGAGCGTGTGAGTGTGTGTCCGCGGCGCTGCGGCGGCCCGGCGTGCGCTCGCGCGGCCCTGTGTGTGCCCGGCGCCGGCGTGTGCGGCGCCTGCTTGTGTGGCCATCGGGCGTGTGCTGGGTGTCGAGCCGGGGTGCTGGGACCGGCCGTGCGTGTGTGTCTCCGAGTGGCTGCCCCTCCGCTCTGTCTTCGGGGCTGCCGCGCGCCCATCGGAGGGGCTGTGTGCAGGTGTGTGTGCGTGGGCTGTGTGTCCAGGTGTGAGTCCCCCCAGCCAGTGTGTGCGCTGAGCTAGCTGCCTTGGGTGTTTGTGTCCGGGTTGGATGCCCATCCGAGGGTCTGTGAAGGCGGGTGTGCCCGCTCTGGTGTGTGTGTGTGTGTGTGTGTGTGTGTGTGTGTGTGTGTGGTCTGCGGGTTGTATGTCTCCGAGGGTGTGTATCTGTGCGTCCACGTCAGGTTCCGGGCCAGGGCTGGGACTCAGCGCCTTGTGGGTCCAGGCCTCTGTGTGGTTTGGGGGAGGGGAGTTTGCCTCTCCCTCGGTCCAGGTCAACTGGTGTGGGAGGCGGGGAATGGGGGGGTCCTCAGCGGTCCTTGGGGGAGACGGCCATATCTTCCCCTTCCCGGTGGCTGGTGGTGGTGGGGGGGATGGGCGATTGGTAGGTGGACAGATGGAGGGATGAGAGGCCGAGGGATGGACAGATGGGCCCGAGGGGAGGCATGCAGACCTGGCCCTTCCCCACCCATCCCACCCCAATCCCCACACCCGCCACATCTCCCCAGATGGGGCCAGAGTTGCCTGCATCCAGATGGCCAGTCTAGGGGACCTTTGGGCTGCTGGTGGGAGGATCGCCTTGGACTAGTGCTTTAGGACTCAGCTCCCCAACCCCCTGAGATTCGACCTGCTGAACTCTGACCTCTGGCCCTGGCTTTTGCTGTGGTGGTGGGGGCAGGTATGGTGGGAAGGAGGGATGTTAGGATTTCTTTGGCCTGCAAAGTAGGTGGGCAAGAGTGCCTCAGGACTGGGAGAGATGTGTGTCCATGTATGTGTGTGAGTGTGAATCTGTGCCTATCTGTTCACTATGTCACTGTGGTTCAATATTTTGTGTGCATTTGTAAGTGTAAATCCCTTACAGGGCTGTGTGTGAGCATTTCTGTTATGAGTTAACATCTCAGTGTCTGTGCAAAAGGTAGATCTTTTTGTACCTTGTGCTTGTTTGAGTGTGTATCAGCCTTGTAAGTGTCTGCATACTTGTGGTTCTGTGTATGTGTGTGAGGTGTATATCAGCTAGTGTGTACATTTGTGCGTCTTTTGGTGTAGGAATATATCAGCTTTGTGACTGCATCATGGGGATATGTGAAGTTGTCTGAGCATGTTTGGGCATTTAAGAGTGTGTCTGTGTATCCTTGATCGTGCAAGTGAATATCTGTTATATGTGTATGCCCGTGTGTTGGTGCAAGAGTATATCTGTTATAGGTGCATGTACCTGGTTGTCTGCAAAGATAGATACATGTGTGCGTGCGCGCATCTGTGTGCACATCAGTGTGTGTGCATTTGTGTATGTGAATGTGCAAGAAAGAGTCAATATTGTACATGTGTGGTTGTATGTGGGTGTGACAATCTTGAAGGGATGTGCTCGTACATATGAGAGTTCATTTAGACATCACAGTTGGTCTCTACATAGTGAGGTGTGAGGTTCATACATTATGTACGGAGTGAATGCCAAGAATTGCTCGTG